TTTTTATTTTTGTGAAATTGCTTGAATAAATGGTTTCGTACCACGAAAGTTGGTTTTATTTTTCCTTTATTTTTATTGTGAAGCGAGTTTGTTATTTATTTTAGGAGAAATCGCTGAAATTTTTTATTTTTTTTGACGTTTTTATTACTTTTGTTCTATTTTTGTTTATTAAAGAGCATTTTTTATTTATTTCTATAGTCAACAACACAAAATTTTGACAATTTTGACTCAAAAATAAGCAAATTTGCAAATTTTTTCATTGACATTTTTGAATTTAATTTGAAACTTTTATCGGTTTTTGATAATTTTTGATATTAACTTTCTTGGTTTACAAAAAAGATGATTTTGACTAAATTATTGTCACAAACATCATCAAAATTGTGACAATTTTTGAATTAAATTAGGTTTTTTGACAATGTTTGTATTTGATTTAGGCTATGTGAAATTTGACAGTTTTTGTATTGGTTTTTTTGATAATTTTTTTCTTTACTTTTTGTTTTAATTTTTTTTATTGATTTGAAACTTTTTTCTGTTTTTGTTTTTGAAAATCCTGAAATTGTTAGTTTGTTTTTGACAACTTCGTAAAAATACATAAAAATTTCATGTAAGCTCATACAAGAACTTCAATAGTTTTCAAAATAACTTGATTTGTGACTAAATTATTGTTTTTTAGCGGTTTAAAACAATCACATTTTTTACATATTTGATTTAGGCCATGTGAAATTTGACAGTTTTTGTATTGACTTTTTTGCTAATTTTTTTCTTCACTTTTGAGTTTTAAATGTTTTTTCTACTTCTTTTTTGTTTTAAAATTTTTTTGAACTTGATTTGAAACTTTTCTCTGCTCTATTTTTGAAAATTCGGAAATTGTTAGTTTGTTTTTGACAACTTTTCGTAAAAATACATAGAAATTTCCTATAAGTTCATCCAAGAACTTCTATAATTTTCAAAATAACTTGATTTGTAACTAAATTATTGTTAAAAACATCACAAGAGAAAAAATTGACAACAAAAGTACGTTTTTGAGAATGTTTGGTTTAGAATCGGTTTTTAAAACTTTTTTTTCTGATTTTATAGACTTAAATTTTAATTTATTTTTACTGTTTTCAACACATTTTTGAATTTAATTTGCAACTTTTCTCGGTTTTTGATAATTTTTAATATTAGCCTTGTTGGTTTACAAAAAACATGATTTTGACTAAATTATTGTCAAAAACATTAAAATTTTTGAACAAAATTACGTGTGTTTGAAAACGGTTGGTTTTTCGCGGTTTAAAACAATCACATTTTGTACATATTTGATTTAGGCCATGTGAAATTTGACAGTTTTTGTATTGACTTTTTTGATAATTTTTTTCTTTACTTTTGAGTTTTAAATGTTTTTCCTTCTTCTTCTTTGTTTTAAAAATTTTTTGAACTTGATTTGAAACTTTTCTCTGCTCTGTTTTTGAAAATTCGGAAATTGTCAGTTTGTTTTTGACAACTTTTCGTAAAAATACATAAAAATTTTATATAAGTTCTTACAAGAACTTCAATAGTTTTTAAAATAACTTGATTTGTGACTAAATTATCGTCAAAAACATCAGAAGAGAAAAGTACGTTTTTGACAATGTTTGGTTCACAATCGTTTTTTTTTCTTATTTTATAGACTTAAATTTTAATTTATTTATTTTGCAAAAGAAGAAGGTAAAACAATCCTAAAGAATCATTTTGTGGTGTGTTTTTGACACGATTTTGACAACTGTTTCTGACACATTTTTGTGTTTGAAATCTTACCTGTTTTTGACATAGAATTTACAAAATCTTTGACAATTTTATGTTTTTCCATACCGTAAAGACATAATTTTTTTTACCCTGTTTTCAACACATTTCTAAATTTGATTTGAAACTAATTTTTGAAAATTGCCAAACTGTTTCTGACACTTTTTTAAAAAATTCACAAAAATATTAACTAAAACAACACAAGAAGTTTAATAGTTTACGAAAAACTTGAAAACTATTGTCAAAAACATTATAAAAAGGAAAAAAGGAAAATTGTTATTATTGACGATATTTGATTAGATTTTGTCAATTTTGACAATTTTTAAATTTAGATTTGTCTTAATAACCTTTAAAATTATAAGAAAAGAATAAGAATGTCTCGGTTTAACTAAAATTAATTGTTTTGACTTGAATGTTTTTGACAATAAAACGAATGTTGTTTTTGACATACTTATTTTTTAATTGTTTAGCTAGAAATTGTGATTAAATAAAAGTCCATTTTTTTCTTTATTTTTTTGACATTTTTTCATTTATTTTGTCTATTCATACTTACCAAATCGATCTAAAATCCCAAAATAGCCCATCCAAATTCTCAATAACCACAAAAACTGCACGTTATTGTCCCAAACAAATCAATAAAACCCATAATCAAATACTACCAATTCATAGGTCAAAGTTCACCACACTTTTCTCGTTGCCAATCAACCAACCCAACCAACCCATCATTGTCAATGTCATCTCACCCATCAAAATTTCCTCTTCCAGAATGTGGCTTCAACAAGAACTCAGCGAGCCGAAACTCCACGATTGGCTCATCCAACCGAAAAAGAAACAAATCGAATGCTCTCCACCAATCAGAAACGCGGAAAAAAGAAGAAAGAGAGAGGCGGGGCCGGGACCGATCACGTGGACTGTTTCAGACATATCAAAAGCTGGGTGTATCCTAGCCCAGCCTCCAGCACCGACCACTTTCGACGACGAACAAGAGATGAGAAGAGTGTATACTTTGATTTACGACGTTTTTAGACGTAATTTTTGAACATTTTTTTGACTACTCGTAGAAATGGGGTGTTTTTTTTTAGATAAAAATGTCCTTACGCAGGCCTTGAATGATATCGCATTCTTCCACTTTTACCCCGAGGTAGGTAGCAATTTTTTCAATTTTTGCTCTGTTTTTGTTTTTGACAATTTTGTACAGTTTTGACAAATTTTTATTGTGGTTTTTACGATTTTGTGTATTTACTTAAATTTACTTAAAAATTGAATTTTGTTTCAGTTTTACTATTTTGTTTTTGACAATTTTTTGACAATTTTTGATTTTGTTTTTCACATTTTTTGTGCATTGTCTAAACCTAGATCTTAAACCTGACATTTCTATTTAGTTCTGAGTATAATTTGCACATAAAACGTTGGATTTTGTTTCAGTTTCACTTTTCTTCACTTTCTGTTTTTGACAATTTTTTAAGATTTTGACAATTTTTTAGTTATGTATTTGTATTTATATTATTTAAGATGAAACGTTTATGTGACTTATAAAATCAGAGTTTTCACTAGTTTTTGCTTTGTTTGTTTCTGACAATTTTGAATATTTTCACTTTTTAATCTTTATGGTCGGTTTGGAATATTATATTTTGTCAAAATTTTGCTTTTTAATACCTTTTGCACATTCGAAAGTTTGTGTTTTTTATTTTAGGTTTTTGACAATTTTTGAAAGTTTTTGAGAAAACAGCTGTGTTTCAGACATTTTGAAACGAGTTTTTATTATGTGTTAACATTTTTGAAAATTGAGTTAAAGTTTTGTCAATATGACAATTTTTAGTTTTGATAAGTGACAATTTTTGAAAGTTTCTGACAATACCGCAGTGTTGAAGTTTTTTTAAACATTTCTTTTATTATTTTCTAACGTTTTTAGGCTTTTGAAATTTGACAATTTTTGGTTTTAATGAATTTGACAATTTTTGATTTTTGTCAAATTCAATTTTTTGTCGAATTTTTTCTATTGCATGTTAAAAATAGCTTGAAATCGCGTGACTTTATTTAGTTTGATAACTTTCCAAAACGAAATTTTAATAATTTCGCACGAAACACATCGTTGTTTTTTTCTCTCATTAGTTGGAAACGAAACTACCTCACATTTGGCTCCTTTTCTACGACTTGTACCATCGTGGTTTCAAGAAACGTGAAATAGCGGTGGCCTCCCTCGCCGTGAAACTCTTCAAAGAGGTGGGCGTGTGGGAGGTGGAGGCGGCGTTATGGGAGTGGCGAACGAAATTGGCGGCGGCGGTGGCACGCCTACGAATCAAACACAGTGCTTTAAGTCTCAGCGATTTACTACCGACTCATCTACGGGGCGAAACTGGGGGCGGCGGCATGGTCACTTGCTGGATTAATCTTAAAAAAATCAAGTGAGTTGTGAAATTATCACTCCTTGATTGGTTATTATTCTTCTAGAAACACCCTCGAGTTGAAACAACAAATCGAATCCGAGTTTTCCCTCACTCCTGTCGACTCGACACGCCCACTTACCCCCACCACCTACACGTGGGATAAGCACTGTCCGCATATTGTTGTTTTTCACTCCTCCCTTCGCTCCGCCCTCGCTCGTAGTCGACTAATCAAATCGCATAAACTTGTCGTACAAGATCGTTCGTTTTGTCTTGGCCCCGCCACATTTTATAAACACGTGACTGACCTTGAACTTGCTGGAAGTGTCATTCAAACTCATGTCAATTCCCCAAGAACCACGGCCTACTTAGCAACGATACTTTCACAAAATGAAAAAATTAAAAAATTGATGGCGTTTAGTGCTGGTGGACGTAAACTTGAATATGAAACGTATCTCAGTAGGCTGGGTATGACGAATGTGGCGGTGTTTGCTGATAGGTTGATTGATGTGTCACCTGATGCGAATTATATGGAAGAGGTGGTGGCTGTATTTGCCACGCCCCCAAATAGTTATAGTGCGGTTAATGATCCAATTGATTTGGTTTGTAGTAGAGGGGGGGATTTGTCAATGTTGGAGATTTTGACAGAAGCGGAGGAGAGTGAGGAGGGGAGGCAAAGAGTGTTTAGGATATTGGATGAGCAGAGGAAGACTTTGAGGTTTGCCATGTCAAGACCACAGGTTAGACAATTTTTGAATTTTTCTTTTTGACAATTTTTTGTTATTTTGACAATTTAAGCAGAAACGTTAGCACGAATTTTAAAATATAAGTTTTGATTATTTTTGCTTTCTGTTTTTGACAATTTAAAAAACCGTTTTCTGTTATTAACAACTCTTTTAGGTTTTGACTTTTCTGTTTTTGACAAATTTTACAGTTTTGTTGTTTTTTCTGTTTTTGATAACTTTTGCAATTTTTTACTTTTGTTTTTGACAACTTTTAAGGTTTTCTACTTTTCTGTTTTTACTAGGCCTAACGTCCATTATTGCTTTATTTTTTTCAAAACTAGTGAAACTTTTCTATTAATGATCGATTTGCCTGGTGTATTGTTTCTGTTCTTGACAATTTTTGTTTATTTTTTAATTTAATTTAAGCAGAAACAGTACGAATTTCATTTTTTTTCATAAGTTTTGCTTTGTCACTATTTGTTTTTGACAATTTAAAAAAAAAACTTTTCTGTTTTAGACTTTTTTGAAAACAATTTTTGATTGATTTTTAATGAGATACACTTTTTAAAATAAATTTATGACATATGACTACTTTGTATTTATGTTTTTGACAACTCTTATAGGTTTTGACTTTTATGTTTTTGATAAATTTTAAAGTTTTGTTATTTTTTAATAACTTTCAGTTTTTACTTTTGTTTTTGACAATTTTTGTTGTTTTTGACAATTAACGTTGATTATTGGTCTCTTTTGTTCAAAACTAGTCACACTTATTTATTATCGATCGATTTGCCTGGTGTATTGTTTCTGTTTTTGACAATTTTTGTTTATTTTGACAATATAAGCAGAAGCATTAGTACAAATTTCACATCATAAGTTTTGCCTAATTTTTGCTTTCTGTCAATTTTTGTTTTTGACAATTTTAAAAAAATATTGTTTTTTGTTTTTGACATTTTTTGAAAACGATTTTTGATTGATTTTTATTGACATACAATTTTTTAAGTAAATTTATCACATAGGTATATGGCTACTTTGTATTTCTGTTTGTGACAACTCTCGTATGTTTTGACTTTTCTGTTTTTAACAATTTTTGTTGTTTTTGACAATTAGTAGGCCTAACGTCGATTATTGGTCTATATTTTTTCAAAACTAGTCAAACTTTTCTATTAATGATTGATTTGCCTGGTGTATTGTTTCTGTTTTTTACAATTTTTAGTTGTTTTGACAATTTAAGCAGAAACATTAGTACAAATTTCAAAACATAAGTTTTGACTAATTTCTGCTCTGTCACTTAAAAATATTGTTTTCTGTTTTTGACATTTTTTAAGAACGAGATTTAATTGATTTTATTTTTTAAAATAGATTTATTACATGTATGACTACTTTGTGTTCTGTTTTTGACACTCGCGTATGTTTTGACTTTTCTGTTTTTTACTTCTGTTTTTGACAACTTTTTCGGTTTTATACTTTTTTGTTTTTGACACTTTTCTAGATTCAGTTTGTCCTTTACGAAACCCATTCGGGAATCGACGCTGAAAACGATGGAATGATCCAAAGAACTGTCAAAGAAGTGAACAAAAACGCCAAATTACACCATGCAACCCTTCAAGGTAAACTCGTTGTCCAAATCTACCCTGAACCAATCCTCGAAATAAACAACAATAGTGAAAAACTGGACGAAAACGAACAAAAAACTTCAGAAAGTGTCAAATTATCAATGGATAGCGACGAAAAACTCTTCGAAAACATTCCGGTACAGTTGGAAATTGATGTCAAATTGTCAAAAACAAAAAATTTTAGGTACCAGAAACGGATATTTTTGACGTTCCAAATCTACCTCATTTGTGTCCGAGCGACACATCTTGTATAAATTATGTAAAAGAAGGGTGTTTTTTGGCGTTGGTTCAGCGAAAAGTTTGTTTTTTAGAAGGTGATTTGATGTAATAGTCGACTAAGATTTAGGTTTGTAGCAAGTTATCAGATTGGATAATAAATATATGATACAGATGGCCGAAAATCGGGGACTTTTTGGACGCACTTCCTCGTCGAGTACAAAAGCGAAAGGGGGAAAAACCGGTAGAAAAAAGCAAGAAAAGGAGGTGAAACAACCCCCAAAGAGCAAGAGAAGGATCAAGGATCTCGAGGTGTGTTTTTGACACATTTTTTGGTATTATGTAGTTGTGTTTGTTTTTGACAATTTTTGTGTTTGTTTTTGATAATTTTTTTGTTTCTGACTGTTTATTTTTGCTTTCCCCAATTTTTTGTTTTTTTTTTTGACAATTTTAGTTTGTTTTTGACAATTGCTGTTTGTTTCTGACAATTTTGATTTCGTTTTTGACACTTTTTGTGTTTGTTTGTTTTTGCCACCAGGTGGCCCGAATCGCCGCCCCCACACACACCTTCCTCCGTCACACCAAAGATTGTGATATTGAACGTTGTTGTCGTTGCCAACTTGATGAAGATGTAAAAGAAAAACCATCGATTTATCGTCAATGGTGGTCAGAAACTACTCGACATCTTATAGCTTTACGTTCAAATCTTGTCAAAAACAAAGTTTTACTACCACCACTAAGAAAAAACAGTAAAATTGATACAAAACTCGTCATAGATTCTTTCATCTCGAATAAAAGTAGAAAAATCGACGAAATTGTTGCAAAAAGTCGAGGAGAAGATCAAACAGCAGTTCCAATTTTTCCAAAATTGAAACTAACAAGAGAAAATCGAGTCGAAAAAGTACAAATGCAACTACCAGTCACGATGGTCAAGTTTGGTTCGCTGTGATTTAAAAAAAAATAAAAATAAAATGAGCATTTATTTGGTTTTTTGAGCGTTTTATTTTTCCCTTTAAAATCATAGTTGGCGTAATAATACTCATCAAAGAGTTGTCAGTTGTCATAGTAACTGTTAAAATGGTTGTTACAGTTACTAAAATGGCAGTTATTGTCATAATAACCGTTTACGCTGAAAAACTGTTACAGTGAATACGATAATGTATGTCACAGTAACTGTTCGAATGGTTGTGACAGTTACAAATATGTTACTATAGCAATAACACTGAATAACGGTTGTCACAGTTGCCACGATAGTGATTATTATAGTAACTGTTAAAATAGTTATATGACAGTTACTAGAATGACATTTGTTGTTAACGCTGGAAATCTGTTACAGTTACCGAGCTAATAGTTGTCACAGTAACTGTCAAAATGGTTGTGACACTTGTCAAAATGGCAGTTAATGTCACAGTAACCGTTAACCGTGAAAAATTGTTACAATTATTACGATAATGGTAGTTACAGTAACTGTTAAAATGGTTGTGGCAGTTATCAAAATGGCAATTATTGTCATAGTAACCATTAACACTGAAAAACTGTTGCAATGAGTACGATATTTGTCACAGTAACTGTTAAAATGGTTGTGACAGTTACTAAAATGACAGTTTGCTGTAAATTTAAAGAGAGGGGAGCAGTCAACAACTTGTTTATTGAACATATACATACCTGTGGGGCTATAAAACTTGGTGTTACACAAAATGTCTACTACAGTTAGAGATTAGATATTTGGGGAACGGTTTATTGTTAATCCTAGACACCAAAACGCTAAAAATTTAAGGTTTGTTTTTATTAAAATGAAGTTTTATATCAAAAATTTAATTTATTAAAATCGTTAGTTACAGCATAAATATGTATAGAAATTGTTTACATAATAGTTTACATGTTTTTTTTTTGGTAGTTTATTTTTTTAAAATATCGATGCGTTAATATAATTTCTTTATAATCATTCGGCAGCGTTTAAAACACGGTTTAGGTATCATTAAAATTTGAAGAATGAACTTTTTTTTTAAACTTAATAAAAAAACGTGCAAAAGGCAAATCTAATCACCCACTTTCGGTCTTATAACGAGTAAATAAGGTAGGTAATGTAGGGATTTCTGCCGTCCGATTTACTAATTATAAGTGATAGAGAAAATGGGAGATGACTAGAGGTAAGTACAATTCCTATCGGCCATAAAATACTAAACCTTGTCTATTGGACAGTTGAAAATTTGAGCATCCGTCCGAAAACTCACATTAAATTTTTTTTTCTTCTTTTATTCTACTTTGGTTGACCCCTAAAACAGCCTAATTTCGTTCGGTTTGTAACTCTGACAGTGGCGTGGCTGCCATAAAGGACCAGAATCCTGTTTTTGACAAGTAAATCTAGTGTTTTTGACAATAATTCTAAGTATTTGACAAAGTAAATTGTCAGTTTTATTTATTCTTTGTTCTTGTATTATGACGTTTTTGACAATTTTTGTGTTTGACAACAAATATATTGTTTTTAACATAAACTTAAATACTATTTTGTATTTGACGTTTCTTGTTGAGAAATATCACAAAAGATAAGAGAATTGTTTTTCTTTGCTTCTAAAATCGTTAATTTTTGCTTTTTTCTCTAATGTTTTTGACAACACAACTTTGGAATTTAAAAATCAGGAACAAAAATTGTCATTATTGAATATAGTTTTTGACAATTTTTGATTGTTCTGTTTTTGACAATGTTACTATGTTTTTGACAATAATTCTATGTATTTGACAATGTTATTAAGAAACTTAAAGTAAATTGTCAGTTTTACTTATTCTTTTTTCTAGTATTTTGACGTTTTTGACAATTTTTGCCTTTTTCTGTAATGTTTTTTAATGTTTTTGTTTGACAACAAATATATTGTTTTTAAAAAAAAACTTAGAAACTGTTTTGTATTTGACGTTTCCAGTTGACAAATATCACAAAAGATAAGAGAATTGTTTTTCTTTGCTTCTAAATCGTTAATTTTTGCTTTTTTCTCTAATGTTTTTGATAACACAACTTTGATATTTGACAATTAGAAACAAAAATTCCCATTATTGGGTACAGTTTTTCACAATTAAGCACGTTTTTACTTAAATTTTTCTGACATTTCTTTGTCACAAGAGATGAGCGAATCGTTATTTTCTTGTGATTCTTTGTTTTTTCCTTTTATGTTTTTGACAAGTTAGCGCTGATATTTGACAATTAAAAAGAAACATTGTTATTATTCAGCCAAGTTTTTGACAATCTTTGACTATGTTATAAGATTTTTGTCATTTTTAATGAAAACCAGTTTTTGACTATAACATGTTTTTGACAATCTGATATAACTTTAGTTGTTTTTGACACTGATTTGTATGTGACGTTTTCGGTTATTTGTGACAAATTTTTATCACTCAAGATAAGAGAATTGTTTTTCCTTGTTTCCAAATGGTAAATTTTTGTCTTTTTCTTTATCGTTTTTGACAACTCAACTGTGATATTTGACAAACAGAAACAAAAATTGTCATTATTGAGTCTAGTTTTTGACAATTTAGCGCGTATTCGTATTTTTGCAAAAATTGCTGTTTTTGACAATATTGTAAGTTTGTTTTTGGTTGTTTTTGACACTGAATGCCAATTTTTGTGCCCGGTTCTTAAATTTCCAGCCACGCCCTGTTACTAGATTCAATTCCTTATAAAGAACTGGCAATATGGGGCTTAGCAGTGGTCGATGCAATCTCAGAAAGTCTAACATCGATGGGTCTCCTATCATCATACAAAGTGGGAGCTTGTAAAATAATCCCAGCGGTACCAACAAGTACCGCAAGTGTGAAAATCCAAAGAAAAAGTCGATCTAGTACCATTGCGACATACTTCCAGTCTTCTTTGACCTTAAACCCAACCTTAAAACCAACCCATAACAGTACCATGAGTACCTTAGTCGAATCCTCCTCGCGTCTGGTATGATCCGCGATAAACCTAACCCCATCAATGGCCTTGTGCACCTCCGGACACAAGTACCATGGGTTGGCCTCCCGACAAAGGGCATCCTCAAGGGGCCCAGCCCCTAATTCCGTCCCCAGATCGGTGGGTAAAGGCAACCCAAGCCCTGGAGGAGGAGTAGTACCATGGACTCGACACGCGTTCAACGCTCCGGCCTCCAACTCCCTTAAAACCCATCATGGGACACGTGTTGGGCTAAAAAATACCAACCTGGGTGTTAACTCATCCCTGGAACTGGCACTCGGGAAAAAACCGGGATCATCTACCAAATCCTCCGTATCGGTGAAAATCCCAGGATCCCTGAGCTCTAACCCATTGCAGGTTCGTACCATCACACGATGACTCGATGTCATACTGGAATGATGGGTTAATGGGTTAAGAGTAATGGGCGATGGTACCTTTTCCGGTCGAATTGGTAATGGGGCCGACGCATGACCAGCAATCGGGGGAGGATGTGGATGAAGACACGACGCACCCATGGGGCCATGGTATGGGTCTGGGGGGAACGGAAGTGGACGTTGAGGACTACCACAGTCACGCATATGCTGGAAATTGCAACGGTTTTTGACCATTTTTTCAAAATTTTAATCGTCAAATTTGGCCAAAAAGTCACTAAATATTGTCTCAAGCCTTGGTCAAAGTTTCAGTAAGAAACTTCAAGGCTAACTTGATTTAGAGAGCTAGAGCCGGTGTTAAACCATTTTTGGTCATCATTGAGAAATTTTCAAAGGCCCTAGGGAAGTTTCTAGTTTACAGAATTTATTCAAATTTGGAACAATACTTGCAAAATAGTTGCTAAACGTGTCCTTGAAGTTTCATGACGATATTCCAAAGCCTACTAGAGTTATCAAAGAGAGTGCTAAATGTTTGACTCAAATTTATCACCTTTAGACTGTATTTATGACTCTAGCTCCTAGACTATTACCAGTAGTTTAAATATGAGTTCAGATTCTGAAAGAGGGTACTGAAATCTACAATTGTGGCAAATTTCAGCAAAATACATGGTCGAATAAATGACATATACAATTTTGAAAATTGAATGAGTGATTTATGGGTTATACAAACCTGAAAGTGTCCAAAATCATGGTAAAAAGTACAAATTTGCCCAACAATGGGACTACCAACGACGTCGGTGGGATAATTTCGGCTAGTAGTAGGAAGAACACTGTCAGTGATAGTAGAATGGAGATGGACAAACTTACCTAAAATTAAAAAAAAATTAAAAAAAATACGACTCTAGCCCGTTTTTTTACTTTTTCACCACTATCGGAAGGCAGATAGAACACTAAAACGGTGAGAAACGAAATACCCATACAGGGAATGATGAGATTGACGGTATAAAATAAAGTTTTTCGTCTCATCGTGATGTTGAATGTGATATCGAGATAGGGCTCGTCGCAACATGTATAAAACTTCTCGTTTCTGAAACACATGAAATATTTACACCGAAAGGTCGAATGATTAAATGACAAGTTTTCCCAGTTTACTTACCTGACGGCGGGGACCTCCAGAATGTCCCATTCGACCGAAGTGTAGAATTCGGTCAAGTCGATTCCAATATCGACAATGTTGGAGCCTTTCATCTCGTCCACGTGACGAAGATCAACCTAGAGGAATTTTTTTTGATGAATCAATCACAAAAATATAAATAAACACACCCTAGAGAAAATATTACAAAATTTCAAAGCCTACTAGTGTTATTAGGGTTCTAAGTGCAAGACACATTTAAGGCCATAAGGGCTAAAATATTGCTTGTAGAAAATATCTGTTTGTAGATTCGTAAAGCTGGTGTCGAGATACATAAATGGTGAAAATTGCGTTCTAATATCAATAAAAATAAAAAAGTTTGTTTGAAAAATTGAGTCATTGCCCCGCCGTAGCAAGAAATCGTGTCTAAACTCTGAATAAATTAGGAATTTTTGAAGAAAACACCATTTTGGTGGTGTTTCTGGTGAATTTCTCCGAATGTGTGATTAATTTCCCCCCGAAAAATATAGATAAACACACCCTAGAAAAACTATAACAAAATTCCAAAGCCTACTAGAGTTATTAGGGTGCTAAGGGCAAGACACATTTATGGCCATAAGGGCTAAAATATTGCTCGTAGCAAAAATCTGTTTTCAGATTCGTAAAGCTGGTGTCGAGATACATAAATGGTGAAAATTGTGTTTTAATATCAATAAAAATAAAAAAGTTAGCTCGAAAGACTGAGTCATTGCCCCGCCATAGCAACAAATAGTGTCTAAACTTTGAATAAATTAGGAATTTTTGAAAAAAATAACATTTTTTGGTGTTTTCGATGAATTTCTCTGAATGTTTGATTAATTTTCTCTCGAAAAATATAGATAAACACACCCTAGAAAAAATATTACAAAATTCCAAAGCCTACTAGAGTTATTAGGGTGCCAAGTGCAGGACACATTTAGGGCCATAAGGGCCAAAATATTGCTCGTAGCAAACATCTGTTTCCAGATTCGTAAAGCTGGTGTCGAGATACATAAATGGTGAAAATTGCGTTCTAATATCAATAAAAATAAAAAAGTTAGTTTGAAAAATTGACTCATTGCCCCGCTGTAGCAACAAATAGTGTCTAAACTCCAAATAAATTAGGAATTTTTGAAAAAAAGATTATTTTGGTATTGTTTCCCGTGAATTTCTCCGAATGTTTGATTAATGAGAATTGCGTTCTAATACCAACAAAAATAAAAAAGATATTTTGGAAAGACTGAGTCATTGCCCCGCCATAGCAACAAATAGTGTCTAAACTTTGAATAAATTAGGAATTTTTGAAAAAAATAACATTTTTTTGGTGTTTTCGATGAATTTCTCTGAATGTTTGATTAATTTTCTCTCGAAAAATATAGATAAACACACCCTAGAAAAAATATTACAAAATTTCAAAGCCTACTAGTGTTATTAGGGTGCTAAGTGCAAGACACATTTTAGGCCATAAGGGCTAAAATATTGCTTGTAGAAAAAATCTGTTTGCAGATTCGTAAAGCTGGTGTCGAGATACGTAAATGGTGAAAATTGGGTTTTAATATCAATAAAAATAAAAAAGTTAGTTTGAAAGACTGAGTCATTGCCCCACCGTAGCAACAAATCGTGTCTAAAGTCCGAATAAATTAGAAATTTTTGAAAAAAGCACCATTTTGGTGGTGTTTCCGGTGAGTTTCTCCGAATGTTTGATTAATTTCCCCCCGGAATCCCTTTCAATCCATCACACCGGAGTTGGCGCTTCCAAAATTCATTACCTGGAAGCCGTCGTAAGTCCACGATCCGAATTTCATGACACACGTTTGTTCGTCGAAGGGGAAATACTCGACGTCTATCTCACAGGAAGACTTGTAAATCGCCGGAGGTTTCCACTCCACCCTTCCGGTGTAATTGAGGGTGGCTTTGGTGGCCAATGTCACCTCAAAGTTACCATCGGCACTGAAAACAACTTCATTAACACTTTGAGTGGAGAGAAACTTCAAAAAAACTCACTTGTTGTAGAGGACGATGTCGGGACGCCAGATGTGGTCGGAGGGCACGTGGAGCATCTCCACGCCCCCGTACTCCTTGGGGTCCCATTTGAGCTTATAGTCGTACCATGACTAAAAAAAAATTTTTGAAAATTTTTTTTGATTTTTATTTTAAAGATACACACCTGTTCTACCCACAGATTCGTTGTCATTATTTGGTTCTTGAGGTTCTAGACAACAAAAATGACTATTTTTGGAAAAAATTTTCAAAAATACTCACAACATCGATAAGTTGGGATAATTTGAGTTTGATTTTGACAGTGAGTGCGTCCGAAACGTTGACCACAGGCCGAACCAGTTTGTTGTAGTTTGATAAAAGGTCATCGTAGAGCCGTTTAGCGTCTGGATTACCGGAACATCCTAAAAAAATTGAGAAAAATACAATGAAATTACAAAATTTTGGAAAAAATTGATGATGACGAGCTCTAGGACAACTTCAAATCATCATAACTTTTTGAAATTTGGTACAAATGTTCTTAAGTGGTAGATAAGTACGTCCTGAAAATTTCATTAAAATATTCCAAAGACTACTTGAGTTATTAAACAAGGTGCTAAGTCCTAGACCTGACTTAGCACTTTTTTGAAAAAAATTAGAGCCACAACTGATAAAATGTTGTCCCTAACAAAAATCTGCTTCCATATTCGGGAATTAATTTGCGTTAATACCGTAAATTTGATAGCAATATCAATAAAAATAAAAAGTTGGTAAATTTTGAAAAAAAAATTTGAATATGACTTGACCATTTTGAGATTTTTTGAAGCTTTTAACAAGTTTTTTTCTAATTCCTGTTATTAAAATTTGCCTAAAACATTGCTAAAAGCCTAACAAATGATTTCCGAATGTTTCAAAAAAATATAATATGTGTGTTGAATATAAAAAAAATAGGCAAAGTACCAAACTGGTGTTTAGCAGGAATTCCCTCTCGTCTTTGAAGGAATTGCAACCTCTCTGCTGTTAAATCACTCTAATTGGAAGTAATGTGCCTCACGCGTCCCGAAATTAATTACAATTGGGCATACGTGCACCAAAACGGACTTTATAGTGGAATGCCCTTAAGAGTCCCAAAGGGAAATACCAAACTCAATACTTTAAAAACACATTTCGTAATGTAAATTTTCAAGAATCATTCAATTCCTTTGAGAATAATTGCCAGCGAAGTGCTCTTTGTTCGTGTAAACTGAACTTTTGCTGTTTTAAAATGGAGAATATGATGTAATTTAAATAATAATGAGAGATTGGGAGAACAAAAATGGCAATTTTTACGCTATTTCAACTTAATTTATGCACTTGACAGACTAATAAGTCAAGAAAGCTCTGAAAAATTATAATGAAACACTTGAAATGAATGCATTTTGGTCTACTTGATCGGAATTTAGACACGATTTGTTGCTATGGCGGGGCCATGACTCCAAAAATTGACTAAATTTTATTTTTTTTGATATCACAATGAAATTTTTACCACTTATGTATTTTGACACGAGCTTTAAGAATCTGCAAACAAATTTTTTTACGGACAATATTTTGGCCGTTAAGGCCTTAAAAGTTTTGAAAAAAAATTGTTTTTTCCGTTTTTTTCAAATATTTTGTTAAAATTCACTACACTTGCCTATTAGAGGTTTTTACTTTATTTTATTTAATTTCTTTAAACAAAATTTTCTCATTACCATTCCTTCTAATAGTCTGTCTCAAGCCTCACAAATATTCACTAAGGATAACAAGGAAATATTTATGCGTTTCGAGTAAATCTCCGGAATTATATAAACATGATGTGCGCCCCCAACAGCGTAGGCTGTGATTGATTCCAATTCTGACCTTTTTGTACTAAAAAAACTGGTTTTGGGGCGTAATTACGATGGTAACGTGTTGACAAGGGATGCAATTTATGGTAGACCCACATTTAACACCTGAAATTAATATTTCAGCGGTCAAATTTTCAGGACTTGTTTATGACGGCCCTAGTAGTGTGTATTTCAAGTTTCATGCAATTACAGCTAGTAGAAAAGAAGTTACAGCGTTTTGAAAATTCTAAAAAGCGCTAAAAAATCCAAAATTTGGCCATTGTGGCGTTAAAATGGCTTCAAATTTGGCGAAATTTGCACCAATCATGTAACTTGGTGTGTTTTAAATAGTTATTGAGTTGAAACTCCTATTAGAGTTTTCATTTTTTTTTCAAAATTTTAGGACTAGCGTTAACCCTATTACTTAACTTTTTTCTTCAATGCCTTATAATTTTTTTATTTTTATTGATATTAGAATGACATTTTCACCATGTATGCACTTGGACACGAGCTTTAAGAATCTGCAAATAGATTTTTACTACGGACAATATTTTACTAGTTATGGCCCAAAATGGTTTTCAAAAAGTGCCAAGTCAGGTCTAGCACTTAGCACCCTGTTTAATAACTCAAGTAGGCTTGCGAATATGCTGATGAAATTTTCAGGACGGGTTTATCTACGATCTAGGAACATTTGAGTCAAATTTGAGAAAGTTATGCCGGTTTAAAGCTTCCTTAGGGCTCTTTGAATGTCTCAAAAGGGACTAAAACCGATTTTAACACTTAACACCTCGTTTAAATCAAGAAAGCCTTGAAATATTTAATTGAGACGCTTTATTACGTGCTTGGGGTTGAATTTGACTCAATTGTGTTTAGCAAAAATTTTCCTAGACTCTCTGAAAAATCTCAAAATGGTCCAAGTCGTTTTCAATTTTTTTCAAAATTGTTTATTTTTAGAGGTATAGAGACGAAATTTGCATCATTAAGGTGTTTTGACACGAGTTTTAAGAATCTACGAACGAATTTTTGCTACGGACAATATTTTGGCCGTTAAGGCCTTAAAAGTTTTGAAAAAAAAAATTTTTCCCATTTTATCAAATATTTTGTTGAAATTCACTACACTTGTCTATTAGAGGTTTTTATTTTATTTTATTTTATCTCTTTAAACGAAATTTTCTCTTGTTATTTGTCTTGAAACCGTCCTCACATCGACCCACTCTTTAGTCGAGTGAAACTTAAACGAAGCGCAACTTTGTGCTCTAATTATCGTAAAACTTTAATAAGAGCTTGATTTGCTGGCAAACTGTTGACATTTTGACAATAATTCTCTCAAAGTGTCAAAGTTTGACGCGAAACGTGCCTCTAATCCGAAAACCGATACTAAAAACTGATTTCCAATTCAATTTGTGTGAAGAAATTGGGAGGAAATCGGATTTTAGTCCGTGCGCCAGATTCTGAAACTGAAACCAGCTGAAAAAATGTTTCAATATTCAGTGTGTTCACATTTTTTTGGACTTTTTGTCCAAATATTGAATTTGAGTTGTTTGCACGATCGATTTTAATTTAAGTTGGGGTCGTAAAGAGGGGGTTTGTGGGTAGTTAAAAGCATCTTCGAAGACGGAAGTGTTTGGGGTATCGGTGAACGGAAGTTCGTTACCTTGACTGCGAAACTTGATATGGATGTGGACTTATCTAGGGATCAGAAATTGACTGAAAAAATTGAGAAATTAGGGAAATTGAGGCCCATAACTGCTAAAATATTGTTTGTAGCAAAAATCTGTTTGCAGATTCTTAAAGCTCGTCTCAAAATACATAAATGGTGAAAATTTCATTCCAATATCAATAAAAATAAAAAAGTTAGCCAATTTAATGTCTAAAATAACCAATTTTGCAAAAAAAACATGTTTTAGCCCATTTTTGATCGGTTTAAAGCGCCAAGTGATTCAAATTGTCCTGAAAAATCGATTCGTTCAACTGAAAATTTCAACTCACCTGATATGAGCACTAAAACTATCCACATAATCCCCACCAAGCTCTTCATCCTGCGACGGGCGAGTCATGTCCACATGGTGGACCTTTCAGTTTCCTGAAACACAAATCCTTAATTAAGAAGCTTTCAGTAACCGATGACCGTTTTATATATTTCAGCTGAAATCCCGTCGGAGCGTTTCACAAGATCGAGCCATAAACTCGCCTGCTTTTATATCTCAGGTAGAAAATAAAAACGACGCGTTTCTTTCCACGAGAATTGCTTTAATTAACTGACAATGCTTTATTACATATTTTAATTAATTGTTTTTGCGTTTGTTTTGTTGAGGAGAAATGGAATTGTGAGGAGAAACGCAAGAGTTGGTCAAAGTTTTTATTAAATTGGGGCAAAAGGGCCATAATGGGGGCTTTCTGTCTTTAATTAAACGTCTGGAGACCCGCAGATGCCAAATACCGAGTTTTACAACAATCACACAAAAAGTTGAAAAGTAAAAAAATAGAGGTTTTAGACCTACACTTAGCACCCTGACTAGAATTTTGAAAATTATTTGCGGTAACTTAATGAAATTTTCAGGATTTGTTTAGAGGACTCAAAATAACCTGTGTTCCAAATTTAGTAAAGTTATCTCAACTAGGGGGCCCGTTAGAGCTATATGAATTTTTCAAAATGGGGTTAAAATTTTCCAAAATTTGGCTATTGTGACTCTAACTTGGATCAAAATTCGGCCAAATTTGCACCAATTATGTAGTTTTATATGCTTTTTATGAATCTGAGGTTAAAAATCTTATTGTGCCATTTTGGGTTTTTTTTTTCAAAATTTTGGGTTTTTTCGTAATTTTGTTATTTTTCTGTCTTTAAATAAACGTGTGGAGACACGGAGATGCTAAATGCCGAGTTTTAGAACAATCACATAAAAAGTTGAAAAGTAACAAAGTAGAGGTTTTAGACCTACACTTAGCCCCCTGACTAAAATTTTGAAAATTATTTGACGTAACTTAATGAAATTTTCAGGATTTGTTCAGAGGACTGAAAATAACCTGTGTTCCAAATTAAGTAAAGTCATGTCGACTAGGGGGCTTGTTAGAGCTAAATGAATTTTTCAAAATGGTACTAAAATTTTTCCGAAATTTGGCTATTGTGACTCTAATTTGGCTCCAAATTCGGCAAAATTTGCACCAATTATGTAGTTTTATGTACATTTTATGAATCTGAAGTTAAAAATCTTATTGTGCTATTTTGTTTTTTTTTTTTTAATTTTGGGTCTTTTCGTAATTTTGTTATTTTTCTGTCTTTAAATAAACGTCTTGAGACACGAAAATGCCAAATGCCGAGTTTTACAACAATCACACAAACAGTTGAAAAGTAAAAAAGTAGAGGTTCTAGACCTACACTTAGCACCCTGACTGAAATTTCGAAAATTATTTGATGTAACTTAATGAAATTTTCAGGATTTGTTTAGAGGACTCAAAATAGTCTGTGTTCCTAATTTTGTAAAGTTATCTCGACTAGGGAGCCCATTAGAGTTATATGAATGTTCCAAAATGGTGCTAAAATTTTTCAAAAATTTGGCTATTGTGATTTTAATTTGGTTCCAAATTCGGCCAAATTCGCACCAGTGATGTAGTTTTATGTACTTTTTATGAATCTGACGTTAAAAATCTTATTGTGCCATTTTCTTTTTTTTTAATTTTGGGTCCAACACTAGTCCTTTTGTAATTTTATTATTTTTCACGCGATTTTAATAAAATTTAAAATGTGTTTTCCTCTAACTATATGATTTACATTTAATTGATTATTTATGAAATTTGTTTACTTGCTCGGAGATGAAAAATAAACAAATTTCTTCTAAAGCAACTTTCTCAAGTTCACGTAAACATCCTCATATTTCTTTTATTCGTGTCTAGGACTATCCTCAGCGAAACAACTCAAACACAAACATCACAACACCAATGAAAAGTCTTTTTTGGTAATTTCGTTATCTCCCACTATCACTTGACGTTTAAAACTTCCAGCTAACAGCTTTTGCGGAGAAGTAATGCATCGATTGGCTTCAACGTTGCTAAGATACTACTACCTATACTCTCGTTCTTCTTTTATCATTCCCGAGCACACTATGAATGTGTTTTCTTTCTCTCAAAGTGGTTAAAACGCTTTCGGAGCAGGTGCTTCACGTTACTTTTTAATGTTCGGAAGCATTTTATTTTTTTCGTAACAATTACAAGAGAGGGATTCAACCGCAAATGGTTGAATTTTTCAATACAAGCCTTGTTTATGGGAAACATTATCGCTGAATTGAGAAATTTGGGAGAATAATGGGGTTTTGAGGAAGGAGAAAGTTTGTTAAATATTTAGAAGGCTTCTGGTTGGTTATAAGTGGCCATAGTGAGGGTATAAACTGAATGTTAGCTGAAATTTTCATGAAATTTTGCTGAAAATAAGGGTGTTTGTCAATTTTTTTGAGTTTTGAGCCATAACGGCTTAAATCTTATCCGTAGCTAAAATTCGTTTGCAGATTCTTAAAACTCGTGTCAAAACACCTGAATGATGCAATTTTCGTCTCTATATCTTAAAAAATAAACAATTTTGAAAAAATTTTGAAAACGACTTGGACCCTTTTGAGATTTTTTAGAGACTCTAGGGAAATTTTTGCTAAACACAATTGAGTCAAATTCCACCCCAAGCACGTGATAAAGCGTCTCAATTAAATATTTCAAGGCTTTCTCGATTTAAACGAGGTGTTAAGTGTTAAAATCGGTTTTAGTCCCTTTTGAAACCTTCAAAGAGCCCTAGGGAAGCTTCAAACCGACATAACTTTTTCAAATTTCACTCAAATGTTCCTAGATCGTAGATAAACCCGTCCTGAAAATTTCATCACAATATTCGCAAGCTTATTTGAGTTATTAAACAGGGTTCTAAGTGCTAGACCTAACTTGGCACTTTTTGAAAAGCATTTTGGGCCATAACTAGTAATATATTGTCCGCACTAAAAATCTATTTGCAGATTCTTAAAGCTCGTGTCAAAGTGCATACATGGTCAAAATTTCATTCTAATATCAATAAAAATAAAAAAATTATAAGGCATTGAAGAAAAAAGCTAAGTAATAGGGTTAACGCTAGTCCCAAAATTTTGAAAAAAAAATCAGAAAACTGTAATGAGACTTTCAACTCAAGAACTACTTAAAACACACCAAGTTACATGATTGATGCAAATTTCTCCAAATTTGAAGGCATTTTAACGCCACAATAAAGAAATTTTGGATTTTTTAGCACTTTTTTGGAATTTTCAAAACGCTGTAACTTCTTTTCTACTAGCTGTAATTGCATAAAACTTGAAACACACACTACCAGGGCCGTCATAAACAGGTCCTGAAAATTTGACCGCTGAAATATTTATTTCAGGTGTTAAGTGCGGGTCTACCATAAATTGCATCCCTTGTCAACACGTTACCATCGTAATTACGCCCCAAAACCGGTTTTTTTAGTACAAAAAGGCCAGAATTGGAATCAATCACAGCCTACGCTAATGGGGGCGCATATCATGTTTATATAATTCCGGGGATTTACTCGAAACGCATAAATATTTCCTCGTTATCTTTAATGAATATTTGTGGGGCTTGAGACAGACTATTAGAAGGAATGGTAATGAGAAACTATAAATAAATGAGTAGAGGAGTAATCTCTTGTAAAATGCACAGATTTAGGCGCGAAATTTAAAAAACTTTCAAAAAAAATTTTTTCTTTGTGAAAATGACTGAATTATTGGATTTTCTCGCAACGTGAATTAATTTCTCTCTCAAAGAACAAGTCACGGCCTACTATTGATTGATTAAAGCGTTGTTTTGCCAGTTTTAAACTCCCACCTCGCGGCTTGGGAATAATACAATTGATTTATTCTGATTTTGGGACAAACAACGATGTTTTTGTAAACCGAATCGAATTTTTCCAAGTATTGATTTTCTTGAAAGGTAGAGATAAGAGTTTGAGGGGCAGTTTGACGTATGAGCGGTTCCGGTGATTGTCAACAAACCCGAGAAAATATTTTCAATTTTCCAAAAAAAAATTTTTTTGATTTTTTTCCAACAAATAGAAATTTTCAGTTCAATTCAATCTTTTTGTGTCAAATTTTATTAATTCCAGTACACAAAAGCAAAATTAGAGCAAATTTGTAAAAGTGGTGCTAAAAAATTTCCAAAATTTTGAGTTTTGATACTGAAATATTACTCAAAATTTGGCAAAACTTTCATTAAATTTGTAATTTGATATGTTTTGTAAATATTAAGGGTTAATTTTAGTTTGGTGTTTAAGTTTATTTTTTGAAAAATTTGGGTCTAACGCTAACCCCCTTACTTAGCCCTTTTACAAAACTTTGTGCGATTTTAATAAAATGTCTAGAAAATGTTTAGAGGGCTTTAAGTCGTCTAAATTTAAAATTTGGTCTTTGTAGGTCGTCTGGGGGCTCTTTTAACCCTTTTTAATATTTCAATTCAATTTCAATGCTAACTAAATTTTTTTTTAAGTTTTTTTGACTTGACTTGTCCTAATAAAACTTGCACGAAAGGTTAAGATAGGCTCAAATAACGTATATTTCAAATTTGAAACAATTATCACGAACACAAGCCGAATTAGAGAGAGTGGTGCTAAAATATTTTCAAAATTTTTACCTTTGGGTCCGTAATGTTACTCAAAATTTGCCAAAATTTTCATCAAACATGTAATTTGATATGTTTTGTAAATATTAAAAGTTAAAACTCTTATTGCAATTTTAGTTTGGTGTTTAGGTTTATTTTTTGAAAAATTTAGGTCTAACGCTAACCCCCTTACTTAGCCCTTTTATAAAACTTTGTCCGATTTTAATAAAATTTCTAGAAAATATTTTGAGGGCTTTAAGTCGTCTAAATTTAAAATTTGGTCCTTGTAGGTTGTCTGGGGGCCCTTTTAACCCTTTTTTAATATTTCAAACTCTATTTAAACCCCTTAAAAATTTAATTTTCTCAATTTTACATTTTAATTCAACTGTTCCTAGTTCAATTTCCCGTTTCCGTTTCCTCATTATTTATGCATCTTTGTGATAAGAGCGATCTCTTGCGGTCTTTCCGCAACATAAACAATCCGTCAGCCAAACAAATCGATCATAATTCAAAATCCGTGACGGAAGGAAAAGGAAACAATCTGAACAAACACTCCAAGCAATATTTCCCTTCTTTTCTCTGATAATTCATCAAAAAAAAAAAACATTCGTGAAAGATCGTGTGCAAAAAATTTCATCTCGTGTGAAACAATTAGGTCAATTTTTTGAATGGGTGTCGTGTTTAAATGCAATACGATTTATAACACAAACTGCGTGATTTCTTGAATGGTACAGTCACGAGAATTTTCAGCTATAGAAAATTTAAGTCATTTTAGGCCATAAGGGCCAAAATATTGTCCGGACCAAAAATTGGTTTGCAGATTATTAAATTTCAGGCCAAAACACATTAATGTTCCAAATTTCGTTACTATATCTTAAAAAATAAATAAAATAGACAGTTTTGAAAAAAAATGGACCATTTTGAGAATTTGGGAGACTCTAGGGAAGTTTCAAACTAACCCAAGTTTTTGAAATTTGGCTCAAATGTTCCTAAATCGGAGATAAACTAGTCCTGAAAATTTCATCACAATATTCTACAGCCTACTTGAGTTATTAAACAAGGTGCTAAGTGCTAGACCTGAGTTGGCACTTTTTTGACAACATTTAAGGCCATAACGGCCAAAATATTGTGTGTAACAAAAATTGGTTTGTAGATTATTAAAGCTCAAGCCAAAACACATTATTGTTGCAAATTTCGTTACTATATCTTCAAAAATAAATAACATAGACAGTTTTGAAAAAAAATTGGACGATTTTGAAAATTTGGGAGACTCTAGGGAAGTTTCAAACTAACTCAAATTTTTGAAATTTGGCTCAAATGTTCCTAAACCGGAGATAAACCAGTCCTGAAAATTTTATCACAATATTCCAAAGCCTACTTGAGTTATTGAACAGGGTGCTAAGTGCTAGACCTGAGTTGGCAATTTTTTTAAAACATTTAAGGCCATAACGGCCAAAATATTGTCTGTGGCAAAAATCTGTTTACAGATTCTTAAAGCCCGTGTCAAAATACATAAATGGTGAAAATTTCAATTTCATACCAATAAAAATACGAAAATTAGAAAGTATTAAAAAGTAACAGGGTTAGCGTTAGTCCTAAAATTTTGAAAAACAAACTACAGTTTTTTTAAGAGTGCTCACTCTTGAATATAAAAAAAATACACGAAAATACACAATTGGTGTAAATTTGATCAAATTTGGAGCCACATAAAAGCCACAAAATCGGAATTTTTGATTTTTTAGCACCATTTTGAAAAATTCTAATGACTCTAACTGGGTTTTGGGTCAACATAATGGGCCCATATTTGGAACTTGTGTTTCTTAGACCACCCTAAACCTCTACCACAAATTCCATTAAATTTGAACGACTTTTATTTGGGGGTGCTAAGCGCAGGTTATCGCCCATTAAAAAATTTCCAAAATTTTTTTATTCGAATTTTTTCATCAATTTCCATCTAGTAATAACACATCAATCGATCGAGCGCGTCTGATCACACATGCAAACCCTGATGAAAACCCATAAAAGTCGAGAAATCTCACCAAAATCTCGTTCACATCCGTTTAAAGAATTCTCAAATAGCATCGAAAAGCAGATCGTCTTTTGCAAACACGGATGAACCTGTCTGTGGTTGAGGCACGGCACCCACTAGCTCTACTCCAACCCGGACGACGACGCCGCCCACACCACGCAAGCGTACACACGTGAGAGAAAAATCACTCCAACTACTAGAACTACTAGAACTAGCACTACTTGACCTATCTTAATCAAACTTTCACAAGGGGTTTTGCAGGGCTCAAGTGACGTGTACTCCAAATTTGGGGCACTTAGCACGACCACAAGCAGAGTTATCGACTTTTGAAAAAGAAAAGGCTACAACTTAGCACCACAACTCTCTATTTTCAAAAAAACTCAATTTAGCTTAATAAAACTTTCAGGGGGTGTTTAGTTAGGTCTGAAACTTACAAGGTGTAAATCCCAAAAAATTCGGACAGTTAGGAGCCAAATTACAAAACTCAAAATGGTGCTAACTAAATTTTTTGAAGTTTTTTTGACTCGACCTGTCTTAATCAAAGTTTCACAAAGGGTTAATATGGGTTCAAGCGACGTATATTCCAAATTTGGGGAACTTATCACGCCCACAAGCCGAGTTATCGACTTTTCAAAAACAAAAATCTACAACTTAGCACCCCAACTCTCTATTTCCAAAAATTTTCAACGAGGCTTTATGAAACTTTCAGGGAGTCTTTAGTTGGGTCAATGACCTGCAAAATCCAAATTTCAAAAAATTTGGTTCGTTGAGAGCCAAGTTACAAGGGTTTAAAAATTCAAAATGGTGTTAACAATTTTTTTTTTAAACTTTTGTTGACTTGACTTATCTTTATCAAATTTGAATGAAGTGTTAAGATGGGCTCTAATAACGTATATTTCAAAGTTGAAATTATTATCGCGACCACAAGCCGAGTTAGAGACTTTTGAAAATCAAAAAGCTACAACTTAGCACCCCAACTCTCTATTTCCAAAAATTTACAACGTGGCCTAATGAAACTTTCAGGGGGTATTTAGTTGGGTCAAAGACGCCCAAGGTCCAAATTTCAGAAAATTTGGTTAGTTCGGAGCCAAGTTGCAAGAGTTTAAAAATTCAAAATGGTGCTAACTAAATTTTTTTGAATTTTTTCTTGACTTGACCTATCTTAATCAAATTTTCATAAAGTGTTAATATGGCCTGAAGTGACGTATATACCAAATTTAGGGCACTTATCACGCCCACAAGCCGAGTTATCGACTTTTCAAAAACAAAAATCTATAACTTAGCACCCCAACTCTCAATTTTCAAAAATTTACAACGTAACTTAATGAAATTTTTTGAAGACTTAATTTTTTAGGCTTAATTGTCTAAAATTGTGTTTTTTGGTTCCAATTAAGTTTTTTTATAAAAATCTTGGCACTCTTTAGTGTCAAAATCTCATTTGATCACTTTCTAATTGAATCTAATTAGGATTAGTTATAATTTGAATCCAAATTGCGAATTTTTTTCTTAGATTTGAGATCAGAAGTGAACTCGACCTGATGACCCTCCCACAAAACTCGAAACAGATCGATTAAGTTTTAGTGTGAGAGTTGAAAGGGGGCGCCACGTGTCGGAACATACGAGTTGGGGACTTAGAAAGACAGATGGCGGGGCAATTGACTTTTAAAATTATTTTGTATCAAAATCTGGATTTATTAACTATTAATTATAGATAAACGGATATTAAAATAATGGGTTGTAAAAATATTAATACAACAATAATAAAAATTATAAATCAGTCATTGAGTACTTGTTTTTCAAATTTTTTATTAATTTTCCCCTAGTTGGCTTAAGATTAGATAAAATAGAATCCAAAACTCGGAAAATTTTCATTTTATGATTAGTTTTTATCTCTAATCATGTTTGTGAGCCAAAAATTTTTCACATTTCTTATAGTTTCTCTTACTTTTTTATTTTTATTTTATTTAATTATGACTAGTGGAAAACGAAAAAGTGATTTTAGTGTCAATGAAGAAACATTTCCAAAATCGGTAATTTTGGACAGGGTGAAAACCATCACCCAGTGTTATGATCGTCCCATGGTGTCCCAAATCGTCCAAAAAGGCCAATTTTGGGTGTTGACCAATTACATAAAGGCCTCAAAACGGTTCAAATGCCACGAAAGTGTGACAATAACCACGCAGGGCGACTTTACATTCCTCGAAAATTTGCCCACATTGGTGGAGAGATGGGAGGGGCCGATTAGTATTGCCCTCTACGCCCCTGGAATCGATTTTGGACGTACCATCGACTCGATTCGCTACCTACGCCACTGTGGCAGCCCCCTCATTGCGAAATTCATCACGTTTCATATTTTTTTCGAAGGGAAACACACCCCAAAACAAGTGAGTTGATTTTTGTGACTAGAAAATTATTTTCGTTCTCAAAAATTAGAATTTTGACACCAAATTTCGAATTTTGCCCATATTTTTGGTATCATCACTCGAATCGAAATGAGAGTCACATATTCGAATTCCTGGGTTCATTTTGTATAAAACTGTCGATTTTTGGCCAATTTGAGTCAAAATTATTTTTGGCACAGTTTGAGGTAATAGTGCCTTGATTTGAGTCCAAATTTTATTAAACTTGTCTTAGTGGGGTATTACGGCACGAGTAATACGAATCTCAACTCAGATTTTTTCTACGACTTTTTGCTTTTTTGTTATGGCCCAAAATGCCAAAATTTGGGTGCTAAGTTTTAGCACTCTAATTAACTCAGAAAATAAAGCGATTCTGATGAAATTTTTACG